ACAGATACAAAATTGATGTTTAAAGTTTGAATTCATGATAATAATGATTGAAAAAACCAATTTTAAAGAAAATCTTAATTAAACCAAAAATAAATTAAAACGAATCATCTGATATCGTTCAACAAAAAAGGAAATTGGTAATTTTCGAAAGGACATTGAAAGATTTGTAGAATGAAAATTATGAAAAACGCAACGAGGAGTTTGAAATATGAATTAACAAAATATATAATCCGGCGAAAAAATTTCTTGAGATATCAAAACATCTTCCTAAAATATTGAAACATTACCGCAGAACCCTTCACGAATGGTTTTTTTCTTGAAAGAATTAGATAAGATTTTCAAATAATTTTGTCTTTAATAACCAGTAAATTTATCACATATTAGAAATTTGTGGCTAAGTATTACAAATAAACAAAGTTATTATCCTTGCTTCAATAAATGAACTATAATAACAAACCTAGCAAATGTCTAGCAGGTAAAAATAATCGACAAAAACATGATAAAGCTCAGATAAAATTTAATTATTCAAAATCATGGATAATAATTGGCAAAATTTAACCACCATAAATTTAAAATTGTTAGTTCTTATTGAAGAACAGTATTCAAAATTGATCTAGTGATTTCAAAGTAAATTCCCAAGTTTCATACAATTGAAACATATTATTGTTGTTGGAAGAAATTGAATTAAACTTCTTTTATCAAATATATCTAATAAATATTCAGAAATGTATTTAATAAAATAGATATTAAAAATGAAATTTGAACGGTACTTAATAACTCGATCTACAACTCTGCAAGCGAGAAACATTAAAGCCACTCGCCATCTATCGGCCGCTGCGGAACTATTTACCATCAAGCGGCATAAGTCAAATGTAATTCGAAAAACAAATTGTTTTATTGAAGTAACTTAATTAACTGTTAATAAATGATTTTTTAACATCATAGGAATAAATAAATATTTATTGACATATATAATATATATAATATATAAAATATATGAAAAATTAATGTGGGAATGAAAGGTCGTGACGAGTGTAACATTGGGGTAAGCTTGTATCTTAAAAAATGTCAATAGCTAACAAGTTACGAGGTAATTTCTCAATTATTGATATTTTTAAAAATGTAAGCTCATTTCGATGTTACACTCATCAAGAGCTTTCATTTGAGTACCCACTTACATTTTTGATATGTTTCTCATACATAAATATATAATATATATTATATATAAATATATAAAATATATGAAAAATTGATGTGGGTACTCAAATGAAAGGTCTCGATGAGTGTAACATCGGGATGAGCTTATATCTTTAAAAATGTCAATATTTCACAAGATACAAGGTCATTTCTTAATTTAACTTTTTAAAATTAAAATTTTGATTCGAAAAATTTTATAAATTTCTATTATCGTTCATTTAAAATAAAATAATCAATTCTTACAACTCCATAAAAAGTTTAACATAAATCTAACACATTGTGCAACATAAATTTAAAACAAAATCATGAAACTTCCTTGAATAATAACCTTAAAAAAACAACCTGATTTTTGATAGCCTCCAGGCTTGCCATTTCCCTGCATTCTATCCTACAATAAGATTTAATAGAATAATAATAGCCAAGTTACATATTATCAACGTGAGAAACATGCAATTTATAGCGGATGATTTATTAAGATCTGAATGCTGCTGTGAGATATAACAAGCGACATAAAAGCATGTCCTTGTGAAGATATACAATGTTTAGCATATATATTGAAGATAGATCTTTAAAATATTCCAGTACTCGTCTCTTATACCTTACAATTGCAATATCTGCTGAAAGAAACAAACTTTTGCAATGATAAGTGAATCATACGTTAATATACAAATAAAGAGGGAATAGAGAGTAGTAAACGCCTTTGCTAAATCAGACAGTAGCTATAATAGTTACACGGAGCAGTAAACAGTAATCCTAGATACCTTCCAAGTGGAATATTGTCGATGCATTTTTATTCTCTCTCTAAGAAATACTAGAAGACATATCTGTTTTATCCGTAGGAAAAATTCAAACGTAAAACGAGTGACTGCCAGGTTGTTTAGACTCAAGAGATCCATGGTGTGCAACCGGTGACTTTAACGAGCAGTCAAGATCTGTGTATGTCGACAATTGGATATGATTATGAATTATTTTATGTGGATGTAATAGACAAATTGGAGTTGTAAATTTTAATATGTTACACTGATAGGATTTATTAACTATTGACAATTTAATTTATTTTAAGACAATTTAATTCATTAAATTTTAATAAATATTTTTTAAATCGATAAATGTTTATTTGGTAGGAAAGTACATTTATAATTAATTAACAAGATCCCTTTGTCAAAAACCGTCCATTACTTTTTAAGTTTTTCGTAATTATCATTTGACTGAGTGTGACTGGTGGGACTAAGAACAAATCCTTCTCTCTTACCAAAGGTATACTTAAAGTCCAATTGTCAGTTGGTCGACTAAACTTTTAAAAAATACTTCCCTCGAAAATAAAAAATTAATCCTACATTGAATATTATGAAGAATTAGACTGATTACCTACGTAGAAAAAATTAAAAAAATTTGTTTTTATTGTGACTGGTGGGACAGGCATTTGTCACTGGTGGGACAAGTACTAAATGTCTACATCAAGTTGTTTATTAAAAAGACTTTTATATTATTTCAACATTACAACACATTATTGTTTATATATATTTAACTATTAATTATTTAGGATAATTAGAAAAAAACTAATTAAAAAACACAAATAAAGGATTTAGCATGCTGACAACACGATCTTGATAAACTTAGGTGTTAATTAATAACGAACATAAACAAAATTTTTTTTTCATTAACAAATTGGTAAAATATAAACTTTTAATAATAAATTAGAATGAGCAGTCTCTTTAAAATATTAAAAAAAAAATTTTAGTTCTTTACTTATATTTCAAAAATTAACTCTCTAATAGCGAGAAAATTTAACGACCATGCGCCACCTGTCGGAAATTTTTAGAATTAAATTGTGTTAATTAATAACGAACATAAACGAAATTTTTTCTTAAAACTATAATAATAAATATGTTAGTTAATAACAAACATTAAATTAATTTGTTGTTAAAACAACATTTGACCTGGATACACGTTAGTACGGCTGAAAAGTTACTAAGAGAGAAAAATCCATTTTCTTATTGATTAAAAAAAATTTTTTTTTACAAATTAATAAAATATAAACTTTTAATAATAAATTAGAATGAATTAGACAAATTTTTATATTTTCCCACACTGAAAAAAAAGTTTTTTTATACCCGGAATACTGAATATTTTTTAGACGAGTTTTCTTGTACGAAGTAAAAGTCAAGTTAAATATTTTAGATTTAAGAAAACTGGTATTTTAAATCTGAGAATACCAAGTTTTTTAACAGGACTAAAACTAAATTCTATGTTACCATAGCAACCGTGACGGTGGCGCCACTATTTTGTCATTTCCCTCCAATCTACAGTGTACGCGTGTTTTTTAGTTATTAGTTTACCTCGTGCCTGAGTCTAGTTACCTAAATATTTATTTGTTTAAATTAAATAATTTATAAATTATAAATAAAAATATTAATCATTAATATTACTTCCCCTTACACCCTTACTTATATGGATTCTTGGATGCAAAAGAAGTTGCCAGAGTGGAATTTATCATCTCCAACAAATTTATAACTCATTGTAGCAATACTTTTTTTTTCTTAATAGTCTTATGAACGTGGACTTGGCGCGATTTTTTTTACAGTGAAACTGTTTTTGTTCGGATTTATCATCTCCAACAAATTTATAACTCATTTTTAGCAATACATTCTTTCCTTATAATCAATTTTTATATTTTTATAATGAGGTAAAAGACCCAGTTATTTTCACTGGACTAGTTGTTTAACACTTGCAATTTTATTCTAAATTAAAAAAAATAAAATGTTACTCTAAAAAAACCAATTATCTTAAAATTTATAATTCAAATATAATGTTTATTAAATTATCAGAGTTGATTTACTTTTTTTAATTAAAATAAAATTTCAAGTGTCAATAACTAGGTCTTTTACCTTAGTAATGTTATTAGTAAATTAGTAAAATAATGCTATTAGCAAGAAATTGCAATTTTTTGACAACAATGAGAATTAAAAAGAAGAAAAGAAAGGCTTAATATACTATTTTCCATTTTTATTAATTTTAGTGTGATAAATTGTTTATAAATGAAGAATTATAAAAAGTATTGTTTCTCATAATTATCTATCCTAAAGATTCGTGTCGACCAAGCGAGGTTAAGTCGGCCATATTGATTGTAGTATTTTAATATTGAGAATACCAAGTTTTTTTTATATATCCAGTAAACTTATTCCTATGGATAGTAAACTTTGGTATTCTTATTTTAGGAATACTTTTTTTTTAACCACAGGGAAAAGTTTTCTAGGAGGAAAAAAACTTTTTTTTCAGTGCATTTCGCATGGAATACCCCATATATATAATTGGAGTATTAAATGAGTCTATGTTTATATAAAAAAATACGATAAATTAAATATTATAAATATCTATAAGACGGATAAAAAATGATGATAGGAAGAAGTCGCGTTAGTAAGAAATTTAATTGTACAATAAATCGTGATTCTTCGATTTGCAACCTATTTCCGACTGCGTTGGCGGGCGAACACATTAAACACATAAACACCGCATATATACTTAGTATACATACTCTCATACAACACCAACCAGTGTAGTTAGTATCATATGGTGGTGAGTGTTGGTGGTTACTGCGTGGGTGCACTCACAACTTACCAAGATATGTAACCTGTCTATTTGTTGTTGTGCTTTGGTGTGAAAGTCGGAAGAGTCTATTTGAATAATCCATGAAAAATCATCATCATCAATATTATCGTGCTTTCTCTGTTTACGGATATACTTAGTAATAATAAAAAAAATAATAGTAATAATAAATTAATAAAAATTATTGATTTACAGATTCACTCGCACAAACGGCGACACTTACCAGTCTAGCGATATTTTTGAGCTCAAGTTTGACGCCAATAGTGACAGCGGCACCTTCTTACAATCTCGGCGTTCTTTCAGAGTCTAATATAAATATTATGGAGACGTGGGAGCAACCTTGCGGTACACCACTGGCTGCATCTTTAAAACGATCACCACAAAGGCATAGTGTTCATCGTGCTCTTAAAAGAGTAAGAATACAACTGCGTGTTGCTCAAAATCATTTTCGTAAAGACCTCAAAGTTGTACACGAACTTTATTCAAAGGTAATTACAATACTGAATATATTATTTTATTTACGAGGCACTTAAGAATTTTTTTTTTTCAATTTTTAGTTCAAACTAATTAATTTTTATCTATTCAAAAAAATCTTTGATATTATTTTATAAAATTTTTTTAAAAGTCAATTTTATGAAAATTTATCAAGATTTTTTTATTTCACCCAAATTGCAATGATTAAAATTTTTTTAATTATTAATTTTAATTTTTTGAACATTAGAATAATTTGATTTAAAATTTTTAAAAAATTTTAATTATTAATTTTGAACAATTTAGTAATAAAAATTTCCAAGCTTAGTTATATATTTTTAGAATTTTTTTGAAAGTCAATTCGATGGAAATTTTATGTATATTTTTTAATTTTACAAAAATTGCAATGATTAAAATTTTTTTAAATATTAATTTGAATTTTTTGAACATTAAAAAAATTTTATTTAAAATTAAAAAAAAATTGCAAATATTTATTTTGAACAAATAGAAAAAAGAGAAAAAGAAAAATTTGTAAAATAAATTTATAGATCTGATAAATTTATCCCGTGTAAAAAAAAATCGTCATTTTTGAGTCACGTTCAAAATCTTAAACAGACATTTTTAAGGCGATTTTTTTTTTTTACACGGGAATATTTAAAAAAATTTTTTTATATTTATAGAAAGTTGCAAAAGTATTCTCTATCTTATAAGCAAAATTATAGATCAAGTTTATTTAAATACATACATTGAGAGAGTCATATATATAAAGGCATTTGTGTGTCGGAATTAGAATATAATGACAGTGGAGATTGTTATGTCTATAATTTATATTTTTAAATTATCACTCTCATAAGCACTTATAATTGTATAATTCTCTGGTTTTTTGCTTTGCCACATTATTTTCCACGCGTATCTGTTACTGTTTATTTAATATAAGCTTAGCGCCACACCTGACGATACTATAAACACACTTTGTCGCTTAATAAAAAAAAAATAATAATAATAATAATCCTTAATTAAATTACATTGAAAAATTGTAAAGAATTTTAAAATAATAATTTTTTGAAAAAAAATTTTTTTCTGAATTTTAAATTAATAATTTTTTGAAAAAAAAATTTTTTTTAGGTGTACAAAGTTTTAAGAGGTCAATATCATCAAAGTTGGTTGCCAAAAAATCAACTCGAGTGGTACTACAACGAAGTTTGGTGCAAAGAAAAGAGCAAAAAAGCAGAATACGCGCTTCCAAAACTTCACGATGCGCTTCAAAGATTTGCAATAACTTTTCATCTATTAAAACGATTTCGGCTGAACTCAAATATCAACGTTGAGTATACAATGAACAAGCGGAATGATATTATGGCAGGAATGCAGAATGAAGTTCATAGAGTGAGTTATATTTTGTTGAAAATATTTTGCTAGAAAAATTTTTAAATTATATCGCAAATTTATATTTTTTATAAAAGACGGATGATAAAAAGATTATCTATGTTGATAAACGTAGCAGTACTTTATTATTTATAGCCTCAAATTTAAATCTCATTCAGCGCTTTTGATTTATTGTGAAACCGGATATTATTTATCTTTTAGTTTAAAACACTACTGTTAAATTATTCTATACAATTATTTTTATTTAATTTATTTAACAAAAGCGAAATTTTTTTAATGTAAACTCTGTCATTTTTTATCCATTCAATTTTTAAGAGAAATAATAAACAATAACTTTAGTTAAATTGCACTGTAGTTTCTTAACTATTGAGGTTTTTAAAGATATAAGCTCATTCCGATGTTACACTCATCAAGAGCTTTCATTTAAGTACCCACATCAATTTTTCATATATTTTTCATATATACATATATATATAATATATTTTAAAAATATAAGCTCGTTTCGATGTTATATTCATCAAGAGCTTTTATTTGAGTACCCACATCAATTTTTCATATATTTGTCATATATACATATTTATAATATATATAAATATATGAAATATATGAAAAATTAATGTGGGTACTTAAATGAAAGGTCTCGATGAGTGTAACACCGAGATGAGCTTATATCATAAAAAATGTCAATAGTTGACAAGATACTAGGTGATTTCTTAATCATTGATATTTTCAAAGACATAACCTCATCCTGATGTTACACTCATCAAGAACTTTCATTTGAGTACCCACTTACATTTTTGATATATTTTTCATATATACATATATATAATATATATAAATATATAAAATATATGAAAAATTGATGTGGGTACTCAAATGAAAGCTCTCGATGAGTATAACATCGCAACGAGCTTATATCTTAAAAAATGTCAACAGTTCACAAGCTACAAGGTGATTTCTTAATTAAGCAAGCAATAATCAAAATAATTTTTCTTTTTAATTACAGATGCTCTGTGAAGTAGAAACAGCGATCTTAAACTTAGGCTTGCAACTCCCGCAATCTCACAAAGCAATAATAGTAACATCAAACTCAGATTGGGCAATGGAAGGCGACCTAACATTGATGTTAATCCAAGATTGGGGTGTTCTCCGACTGTACCAAGCATTCTTAAACGATTGGACCCGGGCCTTTCGCAACGCTACGGCTATCGGGCCCGGAACTTGCGACCCGAATGCAACGAAGCCCATTTTCTACCGAGCGAAGCAGAAGAACCCGAAGAAGAAGCGACGATTGAAGCCGAAAAAGCTGGACCCGAATAAGAAAAAACAGAATATTAAGAGTAATATTAATATTAATGATGACAATAATAATTTTAATTCTACTACTGTTAATAATAGTAATAATAATAATAATAATAACACTAGTAATAATAACAATAGAAGTGGTGTAGTTAGGAATAATGAAATAGTCGTGGGAGTTAATGGCAAAGTTATTCATTCTCGTAGACGAGGCGTTAGACAACGAATGGCTAAAAATAGACGAAAAAAAACTAGACAATAACTTTTTTTAATAGAACCGTGAATTATTCATTATTTATTTATTTCATTGTCATTTATATTTTTTTTTTTTTTTTTTTTTTTAAAAACCGCAGATTAATTTAACCTTATCACACCTATTCGTTAATTCAGAATTAATTACTTTTAAAAAAATTAATAATTAAATAAGAAAGCAGTATTATAAAAATTACTTGATAATTATTTAAGCAGTATTATTTTAAAACAACGAGTGGAAATTTAACGAGTCGCAGGCAATACACTTCTGAATCGCCTTGCGGCCGAGTTCCGTACTAATTTTTTAGTCATTGTTGCTCAAAAAAATTTATTTCGGAGAAATATGCTTAGTTTTGAGAAAATTCGAGTAATATAACTGATTCGGTAAGCATTCTTGATTTAATTTAAAAAATAAATTACATACCTTGCTAATAAATTTTAATACAGATGATACTAAAGTTAGCCGACGTTTTTAATTTTTTGATTTTGTTTTTAATAATTAAATTAGAACAAAAAAATATTTTTTAAAAATTGCACTTACAGTTTTTAAAGTTTTTAACAAGTGACAATTTTTTTTTTTTTGGTCGTCAATTTTTCAATAAAAAAATTTTTTTTTAATTTTTAAACAGCTAATTTAATTTTTATAAGTTAAAAAAAGTCTCAAAATTTTTGATTTTTTTTTTTTTTTAATTAAATTACAGCTAAAAAAATATTTCTAAAAATTGCACTTATAGATTTTCAAGTTTTTTATAGGTGCAATTTTTTTTTTAATTGTTTAATTGAAATTTTAATAAAAAATTTCTAAGAATTTTGAAATGTCTTACTTAATTTTCATAAAAATCTCAGTTTGATAAACTGTAATTGTTTTTTCTTTACAATAGTACTGTAAAATGAAATTTTGTGACCTAGGGTGGAAAAATATCGGTAAAGTAGAATCTAATATTATCAGTTGCTGTTCTAGCGTCATCTATGCGCCAAAAATTGAACTTTTTGAGCAACTATGACGAAAAAATTACAATTTTTTTTATTAATTCTCAGAATAAACTTATCAGCAGCTCCTCGACAAATAATTGTGGGCTAAAAGTTGTTACCTGTGATATTTATAGGATACGTAAGATTAAGAACTACTACAATAATACTTAATAATTTTTTAATAGTTACAATAACTTGTAATTAGTAATTATTAAAATAAAATAAAATTATTTTTAAGATAAATCATAAGAAATTTTATAATTAAAAATAACTTTTGTATGATTTTATTTCCACGATAATTGCCTAGTTATAAATAATTAACCTAATGAATCTCATAAGTTGTAAAAACAATTAATTTTTTATTAAAAATTTTTAAGTTTACACAATTGTAAATTAAATATCACTATTTATTGTCTATTTTAATTATTACGATAATGTTTACATATACTCATCGGGCATATGATTATCGTCAGTTTATAAATAGTATCAATTTTATGCAGTACAATCTGCTCACCGGAGCTTTTTTTATAGATATATATTTTCGGTAAGCACAATTTAAATCTTTTACATCTTTGACACCTAAATTGCGCTGTATATTTTTGATATATGTACTTAAATTAAATAATAAGATATATTATTTTGTTACCTTTCAACGTATGTTAATAATTTATACTCTTTTTATATGTATAATCTTATGAAATAAATTTTTTTGTGTTAATTTTACTTAAATTTTTTTTCTTATTTTATTCATTAACAATTTTTAAAAAAATTTTAAATAAATTTTTCCCTAGTGCAAAAAATTGAATCTAAATTTTGAAATTAAAAAAAAAATATTTCTCCTACAATAATCTATATTATTAAGAAAATAAGATAAAAAAGTTTGGAAAATCCAAAAGTGCACACCTCATAATCTCATTTTTCACAATAAAATTGATTAAAATAAAATATAAAAAGCAAAATAATAAAAAACAGAAAACTCTGCTATGGTTTAGTGGTGTACCTTTTCAAGGTTTTTTATCATTCTCACATATATTAAATTTATGATGATAAGTATTAAAACTGCATTAAAAAATGCTCTATCTCTAGATACATAATTAAAAAATGACCTTGTATTTCGTGAACTATTGACATTTTTAATAATATAAGCTCATCCCGATGTTACACTCATCAACACCTTTCATTTGAGTACCCACATCAATATTTCATATATTTATATATATTATATATATGTATGTATGAAAAATGTATCAAACATGCATGTAGGTACTCAAATGAAAGCTCTTGATGAGCGTAACATCAGGATGAGCTTACATCTTTAAAAATATCAATAATTAAGAAATTACATTATATTTTGTGAACTATTGACATTTTTAAAGATATGTAGACTCGGTTGCGTTATTCAGCTGGGGCAGAAAGTCAGAAATTATCCAAGGGATATCTCGTTCCTGACATTGTAAATTCGAATTAACATCCCAATGACAGTCCTTCGAAAAATATTGTACGCTTAGTTCGAAATGAATGTCATTTTCACTGTAAATTATTTTAATTATCCACATGTGTTAATATTTTTAATGATAATTAATTAAATTCAATAGTTACCATTCAATATTTTTCGCTAAAAATACGATTGTTAAAAATAAAAATAAACTGCTGATAGAGTTCATCGTAGTGAAAAAAAATTTGATAATTTCCCGATGCCAGTTTGTTGTAAACTAACGATCTAGAGAACCGTAGAGTTTATTTATATCAAGCGTGGTGATCGGCGATTAGGTAACTGTTAGTTTTTTGATGCTGAATATAATCCGGAATAACCCGCGATATGACATTGAATATCAACGAAGTTATCTTTTATTTTTGAGAGTTTGTAAACATATTGACTATCCTAATTATCATATTCATGTATTTTTGTCAACTTAAATTATTAAACTAATAAAGTAGTGTTGATAACTTAGAATCAATAAGAAGCTGTTTCTTAAAAAAATTGACGTCAAGTTAATAATAGCTTTGGTAAATTTTTTGAAGTTAAAAACTTATGGCTATCTTAAATTTGATATGTTCATAAAATATGATAAGAATATTAATCACCATGCGAATTGTCTTTTTGTGATAAAAAAAAAATTATAATCGTGCTTAGTAAAGTGTCGATTAGCGACAATTAATAAATTACCACTGAGATTAGATTAATCAGCTTATACAAATTGTCGCTGGACAAATTGGCTTAGCACAGTGACTAATTGTGATAATGTACCAGTAAAAGTGCAGCATAGTTACTGACCAGTTGCAATAAAATTCTAGAATAGAAGGTAGTTGTGAAAAAAGGTAGTCGCATCCTAATCCCTGGCTACAATGGAAGTAGATGAACCGGTTGGAATCCAACTTCCGATAGAAGTCTGGGAGTCTATTTTTCGAGAAATAGACGACCCGTTTGCGCTGATAAAGTGTCAGGAAATATGCGAAAGTTTTTATTGGATTGTTAGTAATCAACTTCCAAATTACGAATGGCGGCGCCGTGCAAAAGATCATATTCATGAGTTTTATTTTCATGAGGTGATGCACAAGTCTTCTCAAGATTTCTATATCCGCGAAGTGCTAAAAGTCGAAGATCGTCAGAAATGGTTCGGTATGTTCAGGTCTTGGTTCAAGTGGAAAATGTTTGATCATAAGAAGATTGCTGCTGCGCAGTTGATTCCTGCTTTTAAAACGGATACCGTTACATGTTTTGATGTCTGGCGTAAGTGTTTTTATTTCAATCTCAATAATCAAATTGGCTTCATATATTTTCAACATAAAAGCTGAACTTTTAAAGCTAAACAGATCAGCTTATTATTTTTTTTGGAAATTTAGAATTTTTAAATTTACATTGTGTTCGCAAAATTTTGTCGTTATTTCTCAGAATAAAAAAAATTGAATCTGTTGCTTCTAATATGAGCATGTTTTTTCATATTTTCAACAAATGTGCTTCTAGATGATATATTAGTTGCTGGTACAAGATCTGGAATGATAGAATTCTTCAGCGTAACGGAAGACATCACTACATCTAAATTCGATACCGCACGAATATTTAGCAAGTCGCATGGTGATGAAATTGTACAAGTCCGACTTTGGAGCGCAAGTAAGTTGACAATTAAATCTTGTTTTAAAAAATTCGCATTAGGGTAGCAAAAAATTAGGAAAACGATTGACCTTCAAGGCCATCTCTGCAACTTCCCGCTAGTTCCATACCTAGGCGCTCAAAATTGCTATGACGTTTTTGAGCTCGAAGAGCTCAAAAATACAACTTATGTGTTATTTTGAGCTCTCCGAGCTCAAAAAGATGGCTTTTGTATGCTTTTGAGCTTAAAAGTCTAATAGGGGTTTGATAAAACACTATTTTTTGAATTGTGAAACCGCAGTAACTTTTGAATGAATGAACCGATTTTTACGCGGTTGGCGGCATTCGACGCAGTTTTTTAAGCCTCACAAAGAATTTTCAAGTTTAAATTGATTGAATTACCAATTTCAGAGTTATTCCGAAAAACACACTTTTTTGCGATTTTCTTTCGTTCACGATATCTCTCGAACGAATTAGCCGATTTTGACCGGACCGGTGGCGATCGACGTGGTTTTCTAAGGTTAAGAGCTGATTAGTTTTGGCAATTGATCGGCAAAGGCGTTTAAAAGTTATTCTTAAAAATAGCACATTTGAAAAAAAATTTTTTTTTAGTTTTTTTGATATTTCTCAAAATCTACCGGTATGAATCAGTTCAAATTATATTCAAAATTCAAGTTTGGCCAAGCCCTTTCAAATGGCGCCAACTGCGATGAAATCGGTCAAACCGTTCAAAAGTTATAAGAGATAAACCCGATTTTCGAAAATTTTCGATTTTCTTAGAGGGTAGTTAAAAAATTGGACTGATCCATAATGGCAGTCATCAGTTATTGCATTTACAAAAATTCTACTTTGATCATAAATGATCTCATTTCAAATTAGATACTAACTACAATTGATATAATTGTCTTCTAAAAATCAAATTTTAATTTTCTAAATTAATTTCCAGGCGATAGTCTTGTATTTGCAATTTCATTATCAGCGGACAAATTGGTCAAATTTTGGAATCTAGAAACGCAAAAAGAAATAACTCCTGGCACTATCTACGCTGATCAAATTTGGTACATATAAATTTCATGCTATCTTTCTTTGTAACCTTACTAAAAAACCTAATAATAATACACAATTGTGATTATTATTTACTCTAGCTCAAGTACAATGCACAATTGCTTTGCCGCACTAAGAGGAAAAATTACAGAATATTACTATGATCAAAAATCTGACAGAGTGACATGCGGAGTTAAAATAGAGCTTGATTGCGAACATGATACTCTTCTTACTTTGTTGTCATTGCACACTAAGGTAGCCTACTTGATTATTAATTTATCAGCTAGTACATTATTAAATAATAACATATTGAATTATCAATTTTGTAGCCGGTTATAGTAGCAACAAATAGATTTGGGATCTTAAAAACTCACAATGTGTCGGAGCCATTCCTTTCAAGAGAAAAACAACACTTCCAGGTTACTCAGACCTATGGCGGAAAACCGTTGAGTCCACTAATGAAAAAAAAAAATAAATTCTTGGTTACTTTCCGCAACGCAGTTATTGGCATCAGTGGTTTGTATTTTTCTAGCAATCTTATCGAAAATCAATTAAAAAAAAAAAATTATGTCACTAATTTAATATTACAGATAATGAGCTTTTAATTCATGCAAGCGGAGTTGACCACAGAATGTTCACAAATTTTGGGAACAGAAATTTGAAGTCAGTAAAGACTCACGGGAATAATTTATTCCTTGGGTTCTCCTCAGGTAACTATGACTACTTACAGGATTATATTAATTAATGACCAATAACTAAAAAAATTTTGATCCGCAGGTCGGGTCCAAGTGATCAACTACAAGAATATTACATTTTTATTCAAATTTAACTATCGTGATCACGATGACAGAGAAATAACCGTCAGTACATCTTCTTCCGTTGACGATATTGTTGTTTCGGAGTTTCAAACAAGTCCTTACGTGTTTACACAAGCGAGTGATAAGAGTCTTTATATAGCATCTTTGCCAATTGACGATGCAATTGTTGCTCACAGATCAACTTGAATCTTAATACTGTTTTACGAAAACAATTTGATGTCAATTGGTGTAAGCAATTTGATGTTAATTTACGTAAGCAATTTGATATCAATTTTTGATGCAAGAACCGTTGCATGTTTAAGTTAGTTACAGACTGATGTCAATTTATACAAACTCCTTTTATATTTAAATTAACTATCAATTTTCTGTTACATTGATAAGAAATATGTAAATTCAAAAGTCAATTTGTAAAATTGACTATAAAGTTTAAGAGTTCAAGATTTATAATCATATTTTAAGTCACTTCTAATTGACACTAATTGATAAACATCAATTTTTAGGAAGTAACTTTATCATCTAATAATTGATGTCAATTTGATGTCAAGCTTATTGCAAACTTTGGTCTTCTAAACTTCGCTGTTAAAATCATAATTTGCACTAAATATATTACTTTTACTACCATTTTGCCATCAATATGTTTGCCATCAAAATTACTTTTATTCTAAAAATTATTAAACAACTTATAATATATTAAGTAACTTCTAATTGACATCAATCGATAGAAAGTAACTTTATTATCATCTAATAATTGATGTCAATTTGATGTCAAGCTTACTGAAAACTTTAGTCTTCTAAACTTCGCTGTTATAATTATAATTTGCACTTAATATATGACTTTTATCGTCATTTTTTCATCAATATATGCTATACTTGACATCAAAATCACTTCTATTGTAAAAAATCATTGAAAACTTATATTAAGTAACTTCTAATTGACATCAATCGATAGGAAGTAACTTTATCACCTAATAATTGATGTCAATTTGATGTCAAGCTTACTGCAAACTTAAGCCTTCTAAACTTCGCTGTTAAAATGATAATTTGCACTTAATATATGATTTTTACTGCCATTTTATCATCAATATGTTTGCTATGTTTTCCGTCAAAACTACTTACCAAATTGACATCAATCTGATGACAATATTGAGTTTTTATTGTCAAAAATTGATAAGAATATTTTCAAATTGACATCAATCATTAGATATCACTTTCCATCAATCGATAATCAAGATTTTTGAACGATAATGGCTCATACCTTCAGTTAAAATACTAAATAAGCGATCTTACCTCTAAACTTTGCAAATCACAAAGAATTTTTACTCAAAAAGTCATCAATTTACATTTTGCATAAATTTATTGTGAAAATTGACATCATTTTGTCACGAAAAACAAAAAACAATTATTCAAATTTGATTAAAAATTTTATTCAATATAAAAAAGTAATAAATAATTTTGTCAATTATTTATTTATTTATTTATTTATTAATTGTATGCCAAGGCCAGAACCGAATGGCAAGAATACAAAACAGTGGAAATATATTTACATGAATATATAACTAATATTTAATTTACTTCGTAAGTAATTTAAAACATAACAATTTAAAAATTAAATACAATAAATAAATAAAACATAAATAATACTGTTTAAATGTACCATTTGTCTTTAAAATTAATGAATAAATAACCTAATAATAATCACTATCCTCTATCTAATAACTTATTTTTTTTTTTTAGAACTATTTAACACAAATTACACACATTTTATCACCCAAGAAATTAATTCGCTATCTAATGAAATTTAAATGTGTAAACACAACAAGTGTATTTGAGTTACGAGATTAGCTGCGGTATTCCCTGTCTATACATAGCGATGGCGCTAATCGTCTTATCTTAAATAGTCAATGACTTCATGTATATTTTCTCACTGTTTGCGATATCAATTAATAAACTCCTCTTAAGAATATTTAAATCCAAAAATTCATAGAAAATTTTTTTATCAAAAATAGAGAGACAAAATTGACGATTTATAAAAAAAGAGCCTAACTTAATGATCAAAAACATGCTTCCAAGCGTGTAAATAATTTTTGTACTTGAGCATGACTCCCCAATCTCTGACGAGACGTATCGTCTCGTCATTAGGAGCTCTTTCTTCCGCGGACATAATGTCTCTGCTTATTCTCTCGGGAATTTCTAAATCTCCAAAATTAGCAATGCTGCTTTCAATTTCACACAGCATCATTTGAAGGTAAATTTTGGTCTTCTTCAAGGCTTCTCCGATTCTGACCGTAGGCTCGTCTTGTATCATTTGGTCAATTGCCACGGAAAATTTCTGCAAGTCAACGTGCAGTTTTGGCAAGTGGCCGATAATCTGCAACAAAAAAATTCAATTTAATCTATATTATTAAAAGAGAATAAGGAAATTTTTGTGGCTAGGGTATTTACATGATAAAATTGATTTTTATGGATAAATTTGGTATTGTTGGAAAATTCTTGACCTAGAGTTATGTTATGAAACCTTTTCAAGGTTTCATATCATTTTCACCGATAATCAATTTATTATGATAAGTATTAAGGCTGCATTCGATAATGCATTTTTAGATACATAATTAAGAAATGAGATTGTATCTTGTGAAATATTGACATTTTTAAAGATATAAGCTCATCCTGATGTTACACTCATCGAGACCTTTCATTTGAGTACCCACATCAATTTTTCTTATATTTTATATATTTATATATATATATATTATATATATATATATA